TTCTTGGCTGCAGGCCCTGGTTTCTAGTGTGAAGCTCACTGCCCAGCAATATATGACTAAAAATTTTCCTTTTTATAATTTATCCACTGTCATTACCCATCTTACTGCTTCAATTACTTTAATCTGTTTCTTTTAAACGTTTAAAAATGCGCTTATGTGGCTTTTTATACTTCGCAAATTTCTATGCTAGACAGCTGTCAATTTTACTATTTCACTTTCCCTAAAGCCTTTATGACTAATTTTAGCTCTTAATTTTTAATAACAAACGAAAAAGCCACCACAAGAGTCCTATAAAATAACCCAAAAGAGGTTTTTGTTGTTGTTTTGTTTTTAGGACAGAGTCTCACTCTGTCTCCCAGGCCATAGTGCCATGGAGCAATCTCAGCTCACTGCAACCCCTGCCTCCACAGCTTAAGAGATTCTCCTGTCTCAGCCTCCCTAGTAGCTGGGATTACAGGGAGGCATTATACTACACCAGGCTAATTTTTGCATTTTTAGTAGAGATGGGATTTCATCATGTTGGCCAGGCTGTCTTGAACTCCTGACTTCAAGTGATTCACCTGCCTCAGCCTCCCAAAGCACTTGGATTACAGGATTGAGCCACCATACCCAGATAATTTTCATCTTAATGGTGGGTCCTAATCACTTGTGAAGTATCAGAAGTAAACATGTTGGTTAATTTAAGGTTCTAAAAAGCACTTACACTCACATTCCAATGTGCCACCTTAAGGGGGGAAAAAAGTACAGAGTTACCATTATACTGGCAACTATAATCTGCAGTCTAACCCATCTAGGTGAAAGTCCTCTGTTTTTTTGTTTTGTTGAGACAGGGTCTTGCTTTGTCACCCAGGCTGGAGTGCACGATCACCGCTCACTGAAGCCTCGATCTCGGGCTCAAGCCATCCTCCCAAGTAGTTGGGATGACAGGTGCATGTCACCATACCTGGCTAATTTTTGTAATTTTTTTTTTAGTAGAGACGAGGTTTCACCGTGCTGCTCAAGCTGGTCTTATTAAATAACTCTTGGTCTCAAGTGATTCTCCCACCTCGGCCTCCCAAAGTGCTGGGATTACAGACGTGAGCCACCATACCCAGCCTCCACTATTGCTTCTAATGTTTATAGTGATTTGTCATTTTGTTATTTCTGCTTTCAAAACATTTTTTGCCCATGGATATTATCTCTAGAAAGATGGGTCATACACGGTAGCTCATGTCTGTAAACTCAACACTTTGAGAGGCCAAGGTGAGAAGAACACTTGAGTCCAGGAGTTCAAGACTAGCCTGGGCAACATAGTGAGATCTTGTGTCTACACAAAATACAAAAATTAACTGGGCATCATAGAGCACACCTGTAGTCCCAGCTACTCTGGAGGCAGAGGTGGGGGGATCACTTGAGCCCATGAAGTGGAGGCTGCAGTGAGCCATGATTGCACCACTGCACTCCAGCCTAAGTGACAAGAGTGAGAACTTGCCTCAAAAATAAAACAAAAATAAAATAAAATAAAATAAAATAAAATAAAAGCCAAGCATGGTGGCTCACACCTACAATCTCAGCACTTTGGGAGGCCAAGGCAAATGGATCACCTGAGGTCAGGAGTTTAAGACCAGCCTGGGCGACATGGTAAAACCCTGTCTCTACTAAAAAGACCAAAATTTGCCAGGTGTGGTGTCACATGCCTGTAGTCCCAGCTACTTGGGAGGCTGAGACAGGAGAATCGCTTGAATTCGGGAGGGGGAGGTTGCAGTGAGGTGAGATCATGCCACTGTACTCCAGCCTGGGCAACAGAGGGAGACTCGGTCTCAAAAAACAAACAAACAAAACAGGTAGGAGAAGAAAATGGTAAAAAAAAAAAAAAAAGATGTGTCATAAGCAGATGAAATCTAATGTCAAGAATTCAATATTGCATAGTAACCACTCATTACAACTGTTCAAAAACAATGTATCATAATTAAAAGTTCAATTCACTTTGTTGAAGACAATCACATAATAGTGTAGCCTCCCCTTGTTACATCAGTCTATGGTTCCATGAACAAATTACCTGAAAACCACATGCCTCTTCACCCCTCAGTAACTCTCAAAATAACCTTGGCAACTCTGAAAAGAATCTTTTTCTTGCTGTCACCCAGGCTAGAATGCAGTAACATGAACCCGGCTCACTGGAACCTCTGCCTCCCGGGTTCAAGTGATTCTCCTGCCTCAGCCTCCCAAGTAGCTGGGATTACAGACCTGTGCCACCATGCCTGGCTAATTTTTCTATTTTTAGTAGAGACGAGGTTTCACCATATTGGTCAGGCTGGTCTTTAACTCCTGGGCTCAAGCGATCCTCCTGCCTCAGCCTCCCAAAGAGCTGGGATTACAGGCATGAGTCACAACACCCAGCTGACAAATTTTTGAATTCCCTCAATGATTACTAACCACAAAGATGGATGTATTAAATTGTGTTGCCCTATGTGCATACTTGAGTCTCAGGAAACAGTACAGCATAGAACTAAAGAGCTGGAGGTAAAAAGTAACCTGGCCCTTGATGAGCTCATATACTAACTCTAAATCCTACAACATCAAATGAGCAGTCTCCAATCCAAGGGAGAAAATAGTTTCTGCAAACTTAGATCAGGCTTCAATTTGGGCCAGAGGTAATTAATAGAAATGAATTACAATGTTTATTCCTTACAATGACTCAATCTTCTCATTTGCTTCTCTCTTCAGTCTAAGGATGAGGCGCTTTTTCTATCTAGAACTCTTTTCCCAGGGACTCTAGATAACACTCCCCCTTCACCCCTGGAAGGCCCTTGGTCCCCCCGCTTTTTTTTTTTTTTTGGTAGAGATGGATCTCACTATGTTACCCAAGCTGGTCTTGAACTCCTGGGCTCAAGCACTCCTCCACCTGCCTCAAGCTCCCAAAGTGCTAGGATCACAGGTATGAACCATTATGCTGGTTCATCTTTTCTGTATCTTCAACAGATGTCCTGGTCCATCTTTTCTGTATCTTCGACATTTATCTACTAGCTTCCCTCCATATAAACTTTGTCAAGTCCCCTTTAAAATGCTTCCCTTAATCCTATCATTTTCTTGGGACCTCAATCTTTTCTTCCATACCTCATCCCAGAGCATCCTGAGAAACTACATTGTCTTTACAGCCTACTTCACACTTGGCTTTTCCCCAACATTCCTCTAAAACTCCTCTTACACTAAGATTAACACTTACCATACTAAATTGTTAAATCCAATGAATTATTTTTGACTCTTAACCTGACCTCCCAGGAACATCTGTCACTAAACTATTATGACTCTTAAAATGCTCTTCTGGTTTCCAGGATACCATTTTCCAAATTCTATTTGTTCATTCATTGAATATGTACTAACATAAAGCACCTACAAATGCGGCCAAAGCATTGAGCTAGAATTTGGGGATACAGTCTCTTTGCAGAGTTTTTTGTATTTTTTATAGAGATAGGGTCTCACTCTATTGCCCAGGCTGGTCTCAAACTCCTGAACTAAGGCGATCCTCTGACCTTGTCCCCACAAAGTGCTGAGATTACAGGCATGAGCCACTGCACCTAATTTTTTTTTTGTATTTTTAGTGGAGACGTGGTTTCGCCATGTTGGCCAGGTTGGTCTTGAACTCCTGGCTGCCCGACTCAACGTGCCAAAGTGCTGGGATTACAGGTCTGAGCCACCTCAACTTCCCTTTTCTGTCTTTTTTTTTGCGATAGAGTCTCACTCTGTTGCCCAGACTGGAGTGCAGTGGCACAATCTCGGCTCACTGCAACCTCCACCCCTCCAGGTTTAAGCAATTCTCTGCCTCAGCCTCTGGAGTAGCTGGGATTACAGGCGCATGCCACCACACCCAGCTAATTTTTTGTATTTTTAGTAGAGACAGGGTTTCAACATGTTGGCCAGGCTGGTCTTGAACTCCTGACCTCGTGATCCACCCTCCTTGGCCTCCCAAAGTGCTGGGATTACAGGTGTGAGCCACCGTGCCCTGCCCTTTTTTTTTTTTAATTCCATCTATACACCGTCCCTGGCCCCTGCAGCCCCGCCTCCCCACCTATGCCAATCTCAGCCACTCCAAAGTATCAAATACATGGGCACAAATGAATGCTCAATATAATTTAAATATTCGAGATACTTACTTTTTCTATTCTCCAATCAGCAAACCACTGCTTTTGTTCAATCACTAGTCACCATATGAATTATGCAACGGTGTTGCTTAAGATCACACAGTTCAACTCACTATCCTTCATGCTATATAAACCCCTTTATAATCTGCCCCCTTGGCCACCTTACTAGACTCATCTCTTCCTACTTCACCAATTCCCAACACTGTCAGCCACAGTGAAGCAGGGTACCTGTAGTACCAGCTAGTCAGTAGGCTTAGGCAGGAGAATCGCTTGAGGTCCGGAGTTGTAGTGGGCCATGACAGTGCCTGTCAATAGCCCCTGACTCCAACCTGGGCAACACAGCAGGCCCATTTTTTTTTTTTTTTTTTTTTTTTTGAGACGGAGTCTCACTGTCATCCGGGCTAGAGTGCAGTGGCCTGATCTCAGCTCACTGCCACATCCACCTCCTCCTGGGTTCAAGCAATTCTCCTGCCTCAGCCTCCCGAGCAGCTGGGACTACAGGCGCCTGCCATCATACCCAGCTAATTTTTGTATTTTTAGTAGAGACGGGGGCTTCATTACGTTGGCCAAGCTGGTCTTGAACTCCTGACCTCAGGTGATCCGCTTGCCTCCGCCTCCCAAAGTGCTGGGATTACAGGGGTGAGTCACTGCGCCCGGCCTCTTCTATCTTAATTCTTAATACAGGCCAGTGAGGCCGTATTGGGCCTTGAGGTAAGGCCCACCACAATTCTGCAGTACCCAGAAGACGGTTCAGCATGTTCCAGGGGCTTAATAAAGTTAGTTGAATAAATAAATGAAGCAAGAACCCGAACTTCCCCGTCCCAAATGACCACTTGGAGAATAAACACAAAATGCCAGCTAAAGCTAAAAGCTCCGTACTTTCTCTTGCATTTCCAAAATTACAGTACAGGCAGCAGCGATCCACACCAGTCCAAGACCTAAGAGGAACTACAAAGACCATGAGTATATTTCAAAATGGGAGGCGTCAGTTGGACAACTGGACCTCCCACTCCCTCGCCCCAACCTTCTCCTTCCCAGCCCTCCCTTGAAGAAAAAACCAGACATTTAGGGGGAAGGAGGGAGAGAGAGAAAAAGATTCCTTGGGGGCAACGAGCCTGAAGTTGGTAAGGCCAAAGGAAAGTCACTGGCAACTCACCTGGGCTGCAGGCACGAAGTCGGGGTGGCCTTCTCAACTGCCCGGACTGTCGTACGATGTTGATGGGGTGGGGGAGCGGAGAGGGGAAAAAAACGGTTGTTCCCACCCAAGGCCGCACCTCGGGGCCGGCCTAAGGCAACACCCCCTATGGAGGGTACATTACCTGTAATGTTACCTGTATATTACAAAACGGACCGTACGTGACTGCCCCTTTTTGGCCGCACAAAATTAAGCGGCGCAGGCCAACAGTTCTCCGCGGTTCCTCGCTGCCAGTTTTTGTTGTAATGGCGGCCGCTAGGCGACTGCGACAGGCGCCTTTATAGGAGACCCCCCGCGGGCGGTCTGCCCATTGGTCTGAACCTGTCACGTGACCACACCTACCCCCGCCCCGGGCGGTGCAAAAAAGGTGTAGGAGTCTGAGCTGGGCAGCTCAGGCCTCATAGGGCAGGCAGAGTGGGTTGGGGTCATTGCTGTGCAGAGAGCGGGCGTTTGCTGTTAATACAACGTTTTCACTAATCAGTTAGCCTAGTAGAGGTTCTTGAGTTTTGGCTTCTGATGTTTTCGTCGTTTTCACACTTTTTTTTCCAGCCTTCTCCAGAGTTCCTGTCTCTTGCACGTAGTGAGTGCTTGATCAATATTAAGTAGCAGCTGAGGCTGGAGACATGCTCTCATTGGTTTTAAAGTGGCAATTTAAGAGCTGTTTCGCAACAGCTGCGTGCTGATAAGTGAGTGATTTAGGATTTTGAGTCTTCGCAACTACCTCTTGATGGTTTGCAGATACTTTAAGGGTGCTAATATGTGTCAGAAAAATATATTTAGTACAGTAGTTTCCCTTAGGATCAAATAGCAAACAACCCTTCTGAATTCCTAATACTCATTCCCAGTGGATGGATGGGAAGGGGAGGGCAAAAACGGCTGACGAGCTGCTCCCAAATCCGGCCAAAAAGCCATCGATTGCCAGTTTCCTGAACCGGAAGTCTGGGGGCCATTAACAGCTTGACACGTCTTAATTAAATCACTTTGGTGTGGGAGGAAAGAACCAAGTGTTCACAAGAAAGCAACACACTTCATCTACTTACTAGACGTCACATAAATACCTGGATTGGCAAGCACTTTTTGTTTAGATTTAATTTTCGTGTTCTTGTTTGTGTTAGTTTAAAATAGTATTCATGGTGTGGCTGCAGGCGCCTGCAATGCCCGTTACTGGGGAGGGTAAAGCGGAAGGCTTACTTAATCCCAGGAGTTCAAGGCCAGCCAGGGCAACAAAGTGAATAATAGATTAAATAGAGATTAGATATAGAGATTATTTTATCGTTCAGGAAAAGAGTAGATGGGTACAGATTTAGGGTGTGACTCTCATATCATGAAAAGTCTAAAGGAAGTCAAGGGAAATGAAAGAGAGGAATGACTCAGTACAAAATTTGCCCCAACTATCAACTTTTGACCCTCCTTTTTTGACCTGAGAATTAGTGGCAGGGAGACACGCACACTTTAGGTAAAGAAGACTGAGGGTGTAATCCCAGCACTTTGGGAGGCCGAGACGGGTGGATCAGGATGGTCAAGAGATCGAGATCGAGACCATCCTGGCTAACCCGGTGAAACCCCGTCTCTACTAAAAAATACAAAAAACTACCCGGGCGAGGTGGCGGGCGCCTGTAGTCCCAGCTACTCGGGAGGCTAAGGCAGGAGAATGGCGTAAACCCGGGAGGCGGAGCTTGCATGCAGTGAGCTGAGATCCGAACGCTGCACTCCAGCCTGGGCGACAGAGCGAGACTCCGTCTCAAAAAAAAAAAAAAAAAAAAGAAGACTGAGTGATTTTTTTTGAGATTCAGTCTTGCTCTGTGGCCCAGGCTGGAATGAAGCAATGCAATCATAACTCAAGATAGTCTTGAACTCCTGAGCTTAAAGATCCTCCTACCTCAGCCTCCCCAGTAGCAGGGACTGTAGGCTCAGAACACTACACTGCCTTCTGAACGATCTTTTAAAAAGCTAAATCTCAGGCTGGGCACGGTGGCTCCTGCCCGTAATCCCAGCACTTTCGGAGGCTGTGGGGGCCGGGGGGCGGTGGGGGGATCATGAGGTCAGGAGTTCAAGACCAGCCTGACCAACATGGTGAAACCCTGTCTCTACCAAACATACAAAAATTAGCCGGGCGTGGTGGGGTGGGCCTGTAATCCCAGCTACTCAGGAGTCTGAGGCAGGAGAATCACTTGAACCTGGCAGGTGGAGGTTGCAGTGAGCTGAAATCGTGCCACTGCACTCCAGCCTGGGCAACAGAGTGAGACTCCATCTCAAACAAACAAACAAACAAACAAACAAAAAGGTAAATCTCATCATGTTACCACCCTTAAAACCTTTCAATTACTTTCCATTATTTTTAGGATAAAAAGCAAACCCCTTAAGATGAACTACGAAGTCCTACATGCCTTCAGCTCCAACTACACCTCCAGTGGTGTCCCCATCTCCAGCCAGTGACCTTCCGGCTCTTTCCAGGACCCTATCTTTTGTCTCTGGACTTCTACGGTTGGCTCTTTCATCCTTCCTCCAATCCCACACTGATTCCTCAACTCTCAGGCTAACGTCATTTCCTCAAGGGGGCCTCCACTGGATTAGGTCTTCCTGTTAAACACTCTTATTACAACCTAATTAAATAGCACTAATTCCAATTGTATAGCCAGTGGTATATTTAATGTCTATTTCCTGCACTAGACAGTATGTACCGTAAGTGCAAAGTATCAAAAACCTTTAAAATGTATTATCATTGAGTAAATTACCCTTCAATCCTTCCTTTTTTTTTTTGAGACAGGGTCTTGCTCTGTCACCCAGACTGGAGGGCAGTGACATGATCATGGCTCACTGCAAACTCCACCTCCTGGGTTCAAGCTATTCTCCTTCCTGCCTCAGCCTCCCAAGTAGCTGGTACCACAGGCATGCGCCACCACACCCAGCTAATTTTTTTGTATTTTTAGTAGAGACGGGGTTTTATCATGTTGGTCGGGCTGATCTTGAACTACTGACCTCAAATGATTCGCCTGCTTCAGCCTCCCAAAATGCTGGGATTACAGGTGTGAGCCGCTGCACCAGGCCCTGCCTGGGTGTTAATGACTCTGGCAAATTAGATTTGAATTAAGGGGATAGGGAAAGTAACAAGACCAGATTTGAAGTTTATTTTGTTTTCTGTTATTTTTGTTTTATTTTTTTAAACTTGAAATGGCTGCAAAAATGGAGAATATGGAGAATGAGTTTATTTGGGAGGTAGGCCTCCCCACCAGGATTTGGTATTAGATTAGATGTAAAGATGGCTTGGGTTGCATTGAGCATTTGGAGAATGGCACCATTTACTGAAAGGGAATCAGTCTTAGAAGACTGAAGATTCTTAGTTCAGTTTTAAATATTCTGTAAGATATCTAGGTGGAGATTTTGAATAAGAAGTTGATTAACCAGTTCAAAATACAGTCTAGGTTAAAAATGGGAAAGAAGGGCAGGAAGGAGGTTAGGTGAGAGTGGAAATTTTTCTAAATAATTATTACAGAGAACAGAACAAGCTGATTGGAAAAGTACATTTAGTAAGACATACTTGAGACAGTGAAGACACAGAAATTGGTGACTGTGGAGAAATGAGGTAGTAGCATTGAGATTTGCCAGGGGTGTACGACAGAAAAATGGTAGGGGAAAGTAGCTTCAAAAATATTGAAAAGAAAGTGGGCTGGGCGCTGTGGCTCACGCCTGTAATCCCAGCACTTTGGGAGACCAAGGCGGGCAGATCATTTGAGTCCGGGAATTCAATACCAGTCTGACCAACATGGCGAAACCCCATCTCTACTAAAAATACAAACATTAGCTGGTGTGTGGTGGCGGGCGCCTGTAATCCCAGCTACTCGGGAGGCTGAGACAGGAGAATCACTTGAACCCAGGAGGCAGAGGTTTTAGTGAGCGAAGATCATGCCACTGCACTCCAGCCTGGGTGACAGAGTGAGACTCCGTCTCAAAAAAAAAAAGTGTAGAGACAGGGTCTCACTGTATTGCCCAGACTGGTCTCGAATTTCTGGCCTCAAGGGATCCTCAGTCTGTTGAGGTTTTTTTTGAGACAGAGTCTCGCTCTGTTACCCAGGCTGGAGTGCAGTGGTGCAGTCAGGCCCACTGCAGCCTCAACCTCTTGGCCTCAAGCAATCAGATCCTCCCACCTCAGCCTCCTGTGTAGCTGGGACTACAAGTGCACACTACCACCCCTGGCTAAATTTTTTATTTTTTGTAGAAATAAGGTCCTGCCATGTACCCAGGCTGGTCTCAAACTCCTGGCCTCAAGAGATCCTCCCACCGAGGCTTCCCAAAGTTGTGGGATTACAAACAAGAGTCACTATGCCTGGCTCACGGCCCCCTCTCCTCCCTGGAGGTCCAAGGTCGGAGAGGATGGGGACTGAAAGTTCCAACCCTCTAATCAAGTATTTTGTCTTTCCGAAGACCAGCTCTCATCCTGAAGCTATGGAGACGCCCTACCCTGAGTCACCTTGTTAGCATATACTGAGGTGTGATAGAAGGCATTTGTAATGAATAACAAAAGCTACTATCACTCAGGAAATTCCAATGGTTTTAGATGATTTGGGCTAGGAACTGGGGACAAAGACTAAACATATATTTCATTATACCACATAATACAGTGATCCTTCCTTACCTGCAGGGAATATGTTCCAAGAACCCCAGTGGATGCCTGAAACTGAGGATAGTACCAAACTCTGTATATACATACATTCCTATGATAAAGTTTAATTTATAAATTACACATAGTAATAGAGTAACAATACATAATAATAAAATAGAACAATTATAACAATACAGTGTAATACGAGTTATGTGAATGGTTTCTTTCTCTCTCAAAATATCTTATTGTACTGTACCCACACTTCTTGTGATGATGTGAAATAATAAAATACCTACACAATGAGAAGAATTGACAGAGCTGTATGGTGCAAGATTTTATCCTGCTATGCAGAGTGACAGGCAATTTAAAACTTATAAAATTCTTTTTTTCTGGAAATTCCCATTTAATATTTTCAGACTGTAGTTGGCCATGGGTAACTGAAACCTCAGTAAGTAAAACCAAGGAAATGGGGGCACTGCTGTACTCTATTTCTACCTATTAACCATATATAATTGTATATGTTCATGTATTAACAATGACCTCAATTTTTGCTTTATGTATTTTTATGTATGTATGTATGTATGTATGTATGTATTTATTTTTGAGACGTAGTCTTGCCCTGTCACCCAGGCTGGGGTGCAGTGGTGTGATCTTGACTCACTGCAACCTCCGCCTCCGGGGTT